TTGTTAAGATACTGTATAGTTTGAAAAATTTTTGGTGTACTATATATTCTCGAAATAATAGGCATTTGCATTCTACGTACGTACGTATTCATATCGGCGGATTCGGAAAATTGGGCCTAATTTAAGGTCACTATATTCACTATATTCCGTTATGTGTAACATAAATCATAGGACTTAATGCCTTAGCAAAGTTAATATCGATCACTCAAATTATTTAAAGTCCGAAGACCTTTAATACAGCGAAACTAAGTAACCCATCAGTTGTATAAGGAACCCGTCAGTAAATTTTAGAGTTAAGTAACTGAGTTTAAAAAATATGATACTATTATGTCTAAAAATAACTTTTTTTTTTATCGTAAACTGTATTGACTATTTTTAACGTTAATTATGGCAACTATGTCAATTCGAGATAATACATCTTGTAGTGAGCTTGAGTGTGGACTATGTGGAAAGATTTATAAATGACATTCAGGTTTATCTAAGCATAAAAAACTAATTCAAGATGCTAATACTATAAGGCCAACGATTTATGAGTTGCCTGAAAGAGCAATTGAAGAGATACGAAAAACTTTAGTCTATCATATTAAAGAAAGATTAAAACAACATTCAAAACATGCTGGAAATGCTCATGTAATTGTTAATTGCACGGAGAGTCAATTTTTTAGTGTTTTTAAAGGATATATCCATAATTATTATCCAAAAATGGGAAATTATAAGTGTATATTTAAAGGAGCTGATTCGTATTCTACTTTATCATATATATTTAGAGATGATAATTGGGGTGTCAAATATTTTTTACAATATCAAAAAACATTTATTTTATCATACCAACTACCATCAAATCCAAGCAATTTTGATTCTTTTCAGGAATTATATGTACGTCAAGAATCTGATTCTCAAAAACCAGATCCTTTTTGAGAACCAGATCCTTTTTAAGAATCAGATCTTCTTCAAGAACCAGATCCTCTTCAAGAACCAGATCTTCTTCAAGAACCAGATCCTCTTCGAGAACTAAATCCTCTTCGAGAATCAGATCCTTTTCAAAAACTTAATCAAATTAAAAAATTTAGAGTATTTGAAAAAAAAAAAATCTACAAACCAAAACCTGTTCAAATTATTATTAGGTGGAAAAAGAAAGTAAAATCTGATATATGTAATATTACATATTCATCTGGATTTGCTTTCATCAATTTTATAGTTTCACATACAAAGGCTATAAAACATCTTTAAGTATTATTAAAATATGGTAAGAAAAGAATATGAATTGATATATTTATATTAATGTTATGATTAAAATAAGATAAAATGATAATATGACATATCTAATAAAAAAAACTTTTAGTAGATTGCACTATATTAAGTGGTTCATTATAATGCTACTATCTGTATATTATATAATCTGAAGTTAAGCAATTAATTAATACTGAATAATTAAAATAAGAATTAATATTTGTCTTGGCAAATTTAAAGTATATACTCGTGTATTCTATTAGAATTTTTAATAATTATTATATATAAGTTACTCTTATACAAGTCACTCTCGTTATAGTGAAGTGATC